TCTCTGCTGTGAGGGGACCAAATTTTCTTGGAGTGACAAAGAACTCCAATTTTCCGCCATTTACAGTAACATGAAAAGAGTTTGCAACTGTTCACACAAAACCTCCTCATCCAGAGCCAAATGCAGCTTTCTCAGAGAGGGATGAACATTCAAAGGGTATCTCTGTAGCACAGAGAAGTGATTACAAAACAAAGAATGGCTCAGCTTATCAGATCAGCTTTGCTTGTTTTCCTGAGAGCCACCAACCATCAATCAGGAATCCAGTCACTGCCATTCACATCAGAGTGAAGCAGAGATAATTTGATACATAAAGCTCTGAATTAGACAGAATTTGAAGAGCAGTAAGCAGGTGTTATTTCTTTTTATTGACTATTGTATTGCTTTAATAAAAACAATCTAATTTTCAAAGAGCTATTTAACTTTTCCCAGCCAAAAATCACATGAAAAACCACCTCCCAGGCAAAGCCTGTTCTAAACTCACACAGCACATCAGATAAAAAAACAGATGAGTGTTGGAAATTCACTCCACAAGGCATTCCTTCATGGAATTAATCACTCAGAACTGGAGATCTCAAAGGTCTGTGAAGAGCCTTTACTCCAGCTTCACAAATACAATCCCAGCCCCCTCATCTCCATTTAGTTGCTGCTCCAAAGCTCATTGCACTGGCCAGGAAATTCCAGTTTTTCAATCTCTTCTCTCTAATACCAAATATAAAGGTCTTGGGTTTGTGCCTGAGGGTTTTGCTGGTTTGTTCCCACATCAACCCACAACCTTATGGAAGTTTCACAGTATCTGTTCAACTGCTGAGCTGCAGAGATTGTTGCATCTTGTGCTGGTCAGTGCTAATTCCCTGTTTCCCTTATCCTGTAGAGCACCTCCATCTATCACCCCTGCTCTGGAGCCAGGCTGGGAGAGCTGGGGGGGTTCACCTGGAGAAGAGAAGGATCCAGGAAGACCTGAGAACCCCTTCCAGAGCCTGAAGGGGCTCCAGGAGAGCTGGAGAGGGACTGGGGACAAGGGATAGAGGAACAAGATATAGCGAGTGGCTTCCCACTGCCAGAGGGCAGGGTTAGATGGGGATATTGGGAAGGAATTGTTGGCTGTGAGGGTGGTGAGGCCCTGGCACAGGTTGCTCAGAGAAGCTGTGGCTGCCCCTGAATCCCTGGAAGTGTCCAAGGCCAAGTTGGACGGGGCTTGGAGCAACCTGGGATAGTGGAAAGTGTCCCTGCCCATGGCAGGGGGTGAATGAGATCGGCTTTAAGTTCCCTTCCAATCCAAATCATTTTGTGATTCTAAGGAGGGGAGTGACTCAGTATGTTCTTGGAAACTTAAAACTCAGTGTTAGTGCTTCACAAAACAAATGCAGGCTCTGATTTTGAAAAAAGAAAAAAAAAAACCAACAAACACAAACTTCTTCCCACCCTGATTTCACTCCCTGGATTACAATTGCCTTGATAATTCATTTGAAAACCAAATCTAGCCTTGCAACTGTCTTGAAAATTGAGTAACCTCAGGTTCAACTGTATTAAAAAACCTCAGCTTCAGGCAAAACTGATGGAACAGCTCATTCACAGTGATTTCACCAAGCCCTGGCCCTCACTGTATGTTTTTCTGATTACACTTACATTGTGTTACCATTTACCAGCAACACTATTGTATTAGAATATATATCGGCACTGGCTGACTCTGACTGCATGTTCTCAGCTTCATCAGCAGCTAAAGTCACACAGCGAGATGCATATTCAGTGCTGTGATGCCATTTCTCAGCTGTTGGAGCAGCTGCAGGAATCAGCAACAAGTTTCACAACTTGAAATAGATGCAACCTTGCAGGATCCTTGGGCTCAGGGCACATCCTGACTCTCATTTACAAGCTGGTAATAAATCTCCTTTTCATCGTCATTTAATAGAGAAGTACAGGATCCTTTAGGTTGGAAAAGCCTTCAAAGATCATCCAGTCCAGCCGTTCCCCAGCACTGCCAAGGCCACCACTGACCCATGTCCCCAAATGCCACATCCAGAGGGCTTTGAAATCCCTCCAGAGATGGGGACTCCACCCCTGCCCTGGGCAGTCTGTTCCAATGCATGACCACCCATTCCAGAAAGAAATTGTTCCTGTTATCCAACTTAATCCTTCCCTGGCACAATTGAGGCCGTTCCCTCTTATCCTGTCCCTTGTTCCCTGGGAGCAGAGCCCAATCCCCCTCCCTGGCTCCCCACTCCTGTCAGGGAGTTGCAGAGCCAGAAGGTCCCTCCTGATCCCTCTTTTCTCCAGGCTGAGCCCCCCCAGCTCCCTCAGCTGGCTCCTGCTGCTCCAGCCCCTTCCCCAGCTCCGTTCCCTTCCCTGCACATACTCCAGCTCCTCAATGTCCTTCCTGAATGGAGGGGCCCAAAACTGCCCCCAGCATTTGAGGTTTGGCCTCAGCAGAGCCCAGTACTAAGGTGTTGGCTTCACCTGCTGGTGGTTGAGAGGACCAACTACAGCTACTGAAGATCAAACCCTCTCAAAACACCCATTCTGGTCCTTGGTCCAAACTGGTTTGTTCTGCTCCTTCCAGCCCATGCTGTTTGCTGAACACACTCTCTTGTCTTCCAGGGAGAAGCCAATGCCTCAGGCAGCCAGTCTTGGAGGCAGGAATTCAAGATATTAACCTTGGGGTTGGATGGTTTCTACCCTCAGTAAACAAAATTATTTCCTTTACATGATCAACCCTCCCCGTCTTTCTGAAAAGGAACTCCTCTAACAAACATCATTTTCTGGTTGAAGGTCATTCTTAGCTCTCTTCCAGGCCCTCAGCTCACAAACACCTCAAGAGCACATGCACGATTATTCAGGGAACAAACAAATAAATGACATTTTGGTTTTATGCCTTTGCAGCCACAGTGCACTTATGGTACTTGTCATATTTGTGAGCCCTTTCCCCCCTTTGGTGCCTGGAAAAATCAAGCATCGTGCCATTCCCACATGGTTTTGTCCCTGATTATCTGGCACGTGTCACTGCCAGAAGAGCCTGATATTTATTTTAAATTGCTGCAATAATAAGGGAAGTGGTTGTATTAGATTTACATTAAAATCATGTAATGCAAAACATTTAATATGAAAAGGGATTCCTGAACAAATTGTTTGCTCAGTGTGTTTCCCATACAACCACTCCACTGCTCCTGCAATACCTCAGTAGATAATATTGTAGATATTGTTGTTAATAATACATAGGAACCACAGATCCCCTAGGAATTTTGGTACATATTTGCTGTGTTTCCTTAGCTGGCAACACCGTCCCTTCCTTCCCCACTTCAGTGCAAAAACAAACTCCACATGTGCTCACTTACAGTTGTGCCTAATTATATAAATGTACTAATTATACACACTTTTCGAATGGTGATAGACTTCAAAGTAGGTAAATTTTAAATGGTGCCATTAAGGAAATCTATTTGATGATGGAAATTTCTGTAATATCATCTTGCAATCTCCTACCTCGCAATTTTGCTTTCATGTCAGTATTTATTTAATGACAAATAACAGCAGAGAATAAAAGAGATGGGAAAGCAAATTAAAGCTGTAAGATTTACGGGGTGATATTGGTCAGCAGATGCTAACAGAAAGGAATAAAAGGAACTCGGAAAAGCAATGGATCTGAGGGAAATAACGAGAAAAAAAAATTCTGAGTGATAAATACGAGCAGCGAACCTTCTGAAAACCACTCTGTTAAATCACATAAACACCTGCAAGACTGACTTCTCCCCATGTGTTCAGCTGCTCACGAGAAAATATGTCACTGAACACTTCATTTACAAGCACAGTTCTCACACTGCTGAGAAAGACTTTCTGTTTATTTACTTGCAGTTCAGGGCATCTCTTTGCACACAAAATAATTCCGACTGCAGGTAGGAAGGAACCAGCCCTGCGAGCTCCCCCCAGAGCTCAACCCACCAGGCACACACACATTGGGGAACCCCAAACTGCTGCCCAGGGTTTCAGCAGCTGAACCTCCTCTTTGGACCCTCTGACTGGCGTATCCCCACCCTCCAAAAACACAGTTGTTTCCTTTTAACGTTAAATATTCACCCCAGCTCCTGGTTCTTTAACGTAACACAAGTGAGATCGTTGTATAATTAAACATAAGAACACTGAGATTCTTTCAGCACTATGGAAGTCCATGCCCTGATGTGCCAGGTTAAGTGTTTTGGTTTTTTTTTTTTTTTCCCATGTAAATTATAAGCATTTATATTTCATCTAAATGAATAGAATTTCTATCTCCTAAAAATCATAAGAATTTCTATTTCTATGTTGTAGAATCCGGATCTGGCTTTGAAAAGAGTGCGAGGCAGCTCAGACAGCAACCACAATGCAGAGACACTGCAGGACACTAATCCCCCTGCCTTTAGTTAAATAATAGCTTATGTGGCAGGGAAGAGACAGAATCCATCTCCCTTGAAAAACAGGGCTGTACAGAGGGGGGAACTGGTTGATCTTCTCTCCCACAAATCAAAACAAATACTCTTAGCAAGTCACGGGTTGTCACATCCCATCACAGACATTTACGGAATGGCTTCATAGAAGCATCTTACAAGCAGCAGGTGGGTGATCCTGAGCTATGCAGCTCAAATATTGATCAGGACCTTCCCTCAACGTTCAGGAACTCTTGGGTCTGAGATTTTGGGTGCACTCTTCAGAGTAGAGGGTTCAGAGGTGCTGGAATAGCTTTAGGATTACAGATTTCTGCTCCGGTGCACCCACATTATAAAAAAAAAATCTCTTCCAGAGATTCAAGATATCTCTGCACAAAGAACTATCTGAATAGTCACAAAATGACTCACACAAACCAAAACACTCATAAAAGTTGGAATTCAAAGCAACTACGATGCAAGTTCAGTGTTGTAACGAGGAGCTCCAACAGCAGCACAGAAAATGCGCAGCACAAGGAGTGATTTTGTTCTCATTAGTGACATCTTTGACCTCTGCTCCTATGGGAAGGAATTCCACACCCTTCCCAGGGTTACCTTTTGATATTCTTCCTTAGACCTCAGGGCAGCTTCCATCTGTTCCTGGGAGAAGGTGTAGATGGCCGAGCGGTACTGAGTGCCAACGTCATTGCCTTGTCTCATCCCTGGAGAGAGAGAAAACATGGAACACCATGAGGATCAGCCTCTCCCCCTCCCTGGGATGCTGGGAGAAGGTCAATACACCTGAATTTCATAGAATCTTAGCCTGGTTTGGGTTGGACAGGACCTTAAACCATCCAGTTCCAACCACCTTCCAACACCTTCCACTAAATTTAGGATGTTCCATGCAGCTGGGTTGGCACAGTCTCTTCCAGCAGGTATTTTTAGGAAGACCAAAGTATTTGGTTAAAGAGTCCTGAAGAGATTCAACAGTGATATGTCCATTTAAATGGCAT